AAAGGCCACCCTGCTGACTAAAAACCACTGGTACATAAAATATACTCAATATCAACAGGCTAGCCCAGGTTCCATGTTTACTTGCAGTTACTAATGCTTTGTTTTTCCATCTATATGATTTTTGCCTCATGTGATGACATAACTTCAATTGACAGGTATTTAATGCACTAGCTTATAAACCGTTTCTCAATACATTTTCCCCAAAATGTACTGTAGTGATTTACATTTGTATCGCCTTATATACCGTACATGTGTACCATAGTGGCTTTGCTTGTACTTCATTTGTACCTTGCTTCACACAAAAGTGTCTGCCAAATTAATACAGTTAATGTAATTATTTTTCCATACCTTTCTTTCAGATAATATATCTAAAGGAGCTGTGTTATTTGTGTATCTGACATAAAAAGAGCTGCAGAGGTAACTTCCTTGAATGAATCATCTGCATCAACAACAAAGATAAACTAAGACGGGGTGAGATGAGTGCTATTGTAGCAATGTCACATATATATGTAGTGTACTGAATATTCAGTTTAATTGAAACCAAAATGGGCTGAGATTATTTTTTTTTAATAAGAGGCAGCATCCGGTTAATGAAGGAGCTCAGCAAGCCATGTTGTAAAATTAAATGAAAGCATGTTTGTGCTGTGTGTCCTCCTGTTTTAGTAACTCTCCAACACCCCTTAAATGCTCAAGAATGTGTGTATGTGTGTATCCAGGGCAGCTCTAGATAGCAGTGTTAAATTAGACCAGGGCTAATAAGCTATGGGACTTGATGTGCTCCCAGAGGATTAGAGGAAGACTTCATCTGTCTGTCTTCATCCCTGACCTGACACACACACTTGTTTTTCTATAATTGTAGGGGCATTGTGCATTCCCTGTCCCCTTACCCTAACCTTAAACCAAGCTGGGCACACAAACATAGAGTATACAGTACAAGTTATCTTTTTTAGTTGGCTCCTGAGTTTGGAGAGCCATCAATAATGTTACTACTTAAACCTGTTATATTTCCTGATTTGATAAAATATATTCGGTATTCTCACTGTACATGCTCCCACAAAAGCACAAAACATTATACAGTAGATCACTTTAATAAAAACACACTAAGTCTGCATCAGAGCTTGCACTTGAACAGACTTGAAGAAAATGCAGCTTGCAGAGTCTCAATTTAAGCAAAAAACAAGAACATCTTTAAGGCTTCATGTCTCTTAAAGAATCATTTACCACCTCCACAATCATTAACTGTCTCTCCATCTATACTGCTAGCTGCTGCATTAAATGTACCAACAGATGTGTGGACAGGCAGACTTTTTTGTTTTTTTCTGAGCACAAACTGTGGAACAGCCTGCATATTAATATTCAACATTCTCAGTGAGTCACAGTGGTGACAAAACTTCAGAAAGAAACTGTATACAGCTATGAACCCACTTGTATAATTTTCTATAACACCACATTGTGTCATTTTAGCATCTCAGTTTATTAATTAAATAAACAAACACAGTTTACAGTAACATGCTGATTAATCACTGAGCTATAGACTTACTGGTAGACCTTTTGGACATACTATACTTTTGGACAGAGCCAGGTTAGCTGTTTCCCACTGTGTTTACGCTAACCTAGGCTAACTGGCTGCTAGCTGTAGCAAATTTACTAGACAGATATGAGAGACTCAAGACTCACTCAAAAGAGTGGTATCAGTCTTCTCAATTTAACTCTTGGGAAGAAAGAAGTAATAGTATTTGCTAAAATGTCAAACTGTTCCTTTACGAAAAGCTGTTCTGTGGTTCCCAGGAGATGACTGTGGCTGGACAGGGAAGTTTCTGGTCTGAAGGATCTCAACAGGGTGCTACCATTGTTATTTAAGTTTAAACCAACCAATTCTTATCCTTGAATATTGCCAAGTTGTTATTTGTTTCTGAAAGAAGGTCAGTGAACTTTTTAACACTGATGTAAGTGAACTGGAAAGACAGGGGAAAATGTCATGGGTGACAGGGACTGGGAGGGCAGCACTGTAATGCAACAGTATAAATATAGTTTACCTAAGGCACCCGAGTCAGCAAGCTTGTGGGTGCTGTACCTTTCACCATCAACGCATCTACTTCCTATGGGCATGTACAGGAAGCCATATCATGTGTTTTTGCATGGCCCTATGACCCTGACTTCACAGCAAATATGGGTATATTTGTACAACAGGCATATGTCACAAATTGTCACATATGTCACAAGTTTCTTTCTTTATTTTTTTTAAAGAAAACTAAAAGAACCCATTACAGAAAATTCCAAACTTTGAAGAAAAAAAAAAGAATTTTAAAATGTCTAAAAATTTCATTCATCTCTATGTACTGTGGACTAGATAGCATGTGGAAATACAGCTAAGTGTGTGGTTGTACTATAGGGGTGTGTGTGAATTGGGTGAACTGACCACTTGACCAAATATGTCACAGCAATTTCATTCAGTGACTGTGTAAATTTGTACTAATATCTGTTCATGAGATGTTCGGTTTTAATATTTCCATAGCATATTTTTCTCAAGAATTCATGGAGAAAGAAAAATAAATAATGTGACTCATGACTCCAAATGAATGATAATGTTGCTCTGTAACTGCTGGATGTGTAGACAGGCAACTGTTTGTCATATAGTGACATTATAAAGCTGATATTATTAGCAATTTTGTGCTTACAGATTGTACTGCTGCCCCCAGTAGGCCAATATAAAACAAGTAGTGCTCCTCTGTTTGCCTGATTATTTCTTACTATGCTTTTGCAAATTTTCTTCTCTTCCAAAGTTCCCCTGAATTGCTTTGAGGTAGAAGATGCCAAATATGCAAGTATGCTTACAGTGAAAAATTGAGGTCTCACAGAATTGGCAGCTCGGTATCGGCATTATTGTGACACACTGTACAGAACGTGGCTGATAATATGCTGCATAAAATTTATGAATGATCCGTCAGTTACTAAGACGATACAGTATATGTGCAAATATACACACATCAGCTGACAAAGTTTTTAAATATATGATGTGTGTTTTCATAATGGTGCTCACAGTAATTCTATTTATTTATTGTTCATGCACATGTCGCCTGTCTTATTTTTTCTTTACAACACTGTAAAACACACACACACACACACACACACACACACACAATGTACCTAATTTTAGTTTAGTTTAGTTTAGTTTTTACATGCCCCATCCATCATCCTTCCCTCTCTCTGACTGTGCAGACACCAATGAGATTGCAGCAGTCAAGACATTTGCACTGAATTAACAGCATTCCTCCATGGTCCTCAGTGTGAAATTGGCACCCACTATCTGCAGCCTAATGGCATAAACACTGCTTTCCACATATTGCAATGGCTCAGAACCCTTCTTCACAATCACACGAACCCCAAAATTGTTAACACAATTTTCAAAAATCTTGGAAAAATTCTTTAATAACAGATTAGACACATTTATTGATAGACATAAAATCCTCTCTGATTGCCAATATGGTTTTAGGTCGAACCGATCGACATCTTTGGCCATTACCGACCTGATGGAGGACATAACAAGTGCTATGGATGAGAAGAAATACACGATGGGAATATTTATTGACCTAAAAAAAGCATTTGACACAATCAATCATGAGTTATTAATGGATAAGTTAGAAAAATATGGGATCAGGGGATTGGTTTTGAACTGGATTAGAAGTTACTTGACACAGAGGCTTCAATTTGTGAAGTTGGGTGAATACCAATCGAGTGAGCTGGACATTGTATGTGGAGTATCTCAGGGTTCTGTTTTGGGACCTAAATTATTTATACTATACATTAAT